GACCACGACCTTGAACAACGAACAAAGTAAACTCAGAGGTGAACGATGTATACCCGAAGGGGTAGGACGATTCTCCAAGAAAATAGATGTGGCGTTGCCCGGGAGCCACACGCGCGAGATCTATGATGAGTGGTCATGGAGGGAGCGCTCTACACTCGCGCAATTAAGGACAGACATGGCACGATTGAACGGGTATCTCCATCGCATCAAAGCAGTGCCCTCGGAGCAATGTGCGTGCGGGCAGGCAAGAGAAACGGTCAAACATTTTCTTTTAGAGTGCCCGCAATGGGCTGAACAGCGAAAAGAGTTACGAGCATGCACGAGCAGTGGCAGAGATTGGTGATACGCCGCTATTCACCGCAGATGTCAGAAAGCATGCCCATAATCACCTCAGTAACAAGCAATTTACGCAGCATGGTCTACTAGCCGGCCTCTCGCCAGACTGTCAGAGCAGCAACTCTACGGGCAACACACGCGCCGCCTCTCCAGATCCACGACTGTTCTACAATGTGACTACGCCGGCCAGCGTTTTTATATGTGGCAGTCAGGGCTCCAGCAAGAGTCATACGCTAAGCTGCTTGCTTGAGACTTGCTTGATCCCCTCAGCGGCAAATGTGTTGCCACGACCACTTACGGGTATAGTTTTCCACTACGACACGTTCAATTCTGAGATTGGTGGTAGCCCTGCGGAGGCAGCGTATCTTTCTTCGGGTCCCGACGTGCAGGTCCGTGTGCTCTGTGCACCGACAAACCGCGTCAAAATTACAGTGAGAGGTGTCCACTTCCAATCTCTAGGGTGTTTGTCTTCCCTTGCTAGGCTGATCTGACCACTGGATAAAGGAACTCTACAAATGTCTCCCCAATGTCATTGTGGAAAGCTTTCAAATTCATCAGGCCCAACTCAACACGAAGCGCATGCTCGATTTGATGGCCATGGGCTCCGTCGCAGGCGATCACTGGCCATTGTATATGCACACCGTAACGCGTATCTTGCGTGATATGCGACTCGAGCAGCAAGACTCGGGTGAAGACGGTTTCGACTATGGTAATTTCACACTACGGCTTAGGGACGAGGTTTTGATTGGATCGCAGTTAGGTCCTTTGCAGCAACGACTTGACGCACTCGAGAGCTTCATGGTGCCGCAGCATACCAACAAGACGGAGCTTGCTTACCATGCCGGCAAACGCCCCAAAGGCGGGAAATCTAGACTGACTGCCAAAAACGTTGATGGTACCTGGGCTCCTAAGGTAAGATTCTCTATCACGTGCGTATGCAACCGCTTGATCTCCTTCTCACCATTCCCCACAGCCTGGGCAGCTCACTATTGTTGATTTATCATGCCCGTGCATAACGGACTCGACGGCTTGCTCGCTCTTCAACATCTGTTTAAGCCTGTTTCTGGAGCAAGACTCTGGTGTCGGGCGTGTAGTGGCTCTCGATGAAGCGCACAAATTTATGAAGGAGTCGATAGAGTGCGCCACTCTAACTGACTCGCTCCTGTCAGCCATTCGCCTACAGCGTCATTTAGTGGCTCGCATATTTATTCCACGCACGCAGGAGCCCACCATATCACCGAAGTTACTAGACCTTTGCTCTGTTACTATGGTACATCGTTTCACGTCTCCTGAGTGGCTCAGCACTTTAAGATCCCATCTGGCGGGCGCTTCCAAGTTTGCCGGTACTATGATTGCACGCCATGGCCCCATCGAAAATAGCAACGAGGTCCTGCCATCACCTCATCATTTGAAAATTTCGCAGTCTGACTCTGCCCTGGCTAATATTTTTGCTCAAATTGTCTCTTTGCACACAGGAGAAGCGCTGTTATTTGCTCCCAGCGCCACCATTGGTGTTTGCATGGAACGACCCATCTTAGACGGCGCTGAAGAAAGTTCTGCGACGTCATCCAACTCCGGTTATGACTCTTCAACGACAGCGGAGGACCGAATGTCGGCCATGGGCACTACGTCATCCACAGTGTCCAAGGTCGATATGTCGATCACCTTTCAGGCGAACAGCAGTTCTGTTGCGGAGGCGGGGAGTGCGGTAAGAGTAATCCAACTTGGCAGGTGGCATCTTGAAGGTTTTATATCCGCAACCGTGTGACTGAAGATGGAGGTAAATCTATTTCATCAGGATGAGCCAGTACGGTGGCTTTGACAGAATTTCAAACGGATTGTTAAAGACACAAACTCAGCCCAAGGGCAGTCACTTGTCACGCACATGGATTTCGGCCGACGCACTGATGACCCAGCCTTGACACCAGCATTAGGTGGGCCGGCTGCCATCGGCTTTGAATCGGCGAGTTTCATTAGGCCGTGATCATTTAAGCTATTCAGGGCCAAATTGTATATATTGTTGCCATAAGAAATGCTTCTGAAAGTACTAATGGCTTACTCCTAGAATTAAGCTCCTAAGTAATCCTTAGCGCAATGCCCCTCTAATGCTTGCTAGACACGTATATATATGTTTTAAATAAGGTATACACTCGTTTAATAATCAACCGTACGAGATGAGACCTATAGTGATGAAAGAAGCACTTTGGGATATAGGGGTATAGCGTTTAGGAAAATTTCGTTTCTCGTGAGGTTTCTTAAGTGTGCATACGACTAAGTCATATATATTATATACGACGCATAACGAAGGTGATGCCTCGTCACAACAGGCGGATGATTAGGTGCATTGCTGCCATTATACACTTTGTGGCTTCTTTGCTTTTACTGAAGCATCAATCCATGACAATCAAGTTTATTAAAGTCCACCCAGCAAAAATCTGTAAAACCCAATTCTTTCTCAACCTCTCAATATGCACAGCGGCCACAGTAGCCACACTCATCATCACCGTGTAGTCGAGGCCGATACGATCCAACTCATCACCACTACCATGCTCAAGCTGCCCGGCATTCTCATTATCCTTGCCGTTGACACGTGTTCCATGGTTTGCGAGCCACGATTTCCAACGATCCTCGACGGGTGGAGAGAATGCCGACATTATGACTGCAATCTGTTCCCGAACGTAAAGAGTGTCGCTCCCTTCGTCGCATGTGATCTCCAACTTGCTGACTGTTTGATCCCTTGCTAAACCTACAATCCGTTCAAGCAGCCCTAAAAAGCGCGCGAGGATCTCCTGGTTCTCGTCTTGCCATTTCCCCACGCCGGCACGCACATCCTGGACGTTGATGTCACGAAAGACGCCCTGCTCATGATAGGCAAGGATCAGGGTTGGCGTCTGCCGGAGCCAGAGACGGGGCATCTCGCCGGCGATGATCTTGGCCTCCTCGGCTTTTCGGCGGACACTGCGGGTTTTGAGGTCAAAAGTGGCTCGAGGCGGAACCGTACGGCCGCCGTCGGAGATGGTCAGCGAAATTTTGGATGATGGGACTTTGAGAGAGACAGAAAGGGACGCGATCAAGTCGTCGACTGAGACTGCAGCTACTGCCTTCTTGCTGTTGGCGTCTTTGGATGACGATGCACTAACATGATCGGGGAAATAGCCATCGCCTTCGAACCGCACAGGGAGAGTCAAGCCACCAAAGTGGTACTTGAGGATGCGCTGGTGGGAGGTCGAGCCTCGCACTGACTTGTCCCAGGTAGTGTAGGTTTCCGGAAAAGTATGACCGTAGCCGAGAACATCTTGAATGATTTCCCGCGACGACTTTTCGCGACGAATGAAGTGTACAGTAGTATCGACCACCTCAACTAGGATTCGAAAGCTCGCACTCTCGCCTCTTGTAAAACGGAGGAGGTTTCCCAGGGTACTGGCGCAGCCAAAGACATCAACCGGACACGAGTATGAGGCCTTGTCCGCGTCCGAACTCATCTTCATGATTGCCTCGACTGACGCCTCTAGCGGAAAGTCTGGATAGTGAGCTGCATTTTTATCTCGATAGTAGGTTCCCGAATCCTGCTCGAGCTTGCGAGGCTGATCAAGAGGCGTCCATTTGGGGGGCATGCCTGTGTCACTGGTCAGTGACTTTGGGGTCGCGCGCGAATGTTGTTGCTGATATTGATGACACTTACCAGGAACAGTGATGTGTGCATCAGCCTTGTCCAGCCAGTTGAACGAAGCGATTGTCTCAACATCGGTGATTCCAAGAGTTTTCCCAGCGGAAACAGTGCGAGGAAGATCACTGGCAAGAAATTGCCCAACGACGAGGCCCAGAGGGGCAGGCGGCACCAATTCAGCGGCTGTCGCCCTGCCAACCTTGCCACCACGGGAACCACGAGAAGAGGCCCCGCGACCGCGAGGAAAACGAGACAAGTTTTTGTGATTCATATTTGCCTCTTTGTCGGATGGAAGAAAGGCGCTCTGTTTGCCGGTGCGTCTGTAATAGAGTGGGCAGCCAAGCCGAAGCAATGACAAGACGCACGTGAGAGGGGAGAGGGGACAGAAGAAAGTGAATACTAAAAGCGTAGAGACCAATTTCGGTGAATGTTACGCGCCCAATTACAAACCAAACGGGGTCAATAAGGCAGCCATGTATGCGTTGCAAGACCTGCAGGCGCCCGACCGGTCCAGTCACAATGCAGCACATACCTGTACGCCACCCGTCACAACCTGTCTGCCAATGTCTACCTTTCCCACATGACTACAAACGAAAACAACTTTTCATCATTGAACTACTTTGCAAAGTTACTCAAGTCTACCAGTCCGTTGAAAACATACAGCTTGGTGTCCTTGATCACGATAAAAGCAATGGCGAGTGATGGTGTACGTGCCGTCCGTCTGAAAAGAATTTTCAATTCTTTTCTACACGGAAAACGATCGGTATCAACTACTCACGAAGCGGAAGTATTCTTCGAAGCTGCAAGAGTCCAAATATCTCCATCAGCGTGTTTAGAGGCCATCCTTGCGAGCCCATCTGGCCTTGCCGTCGTCAAATCCAGCGTGCGAGCCAGTGCCAGTCTCCAATTCATCTCTGACCATGTCCTGCCGTTTTTGCAATACATTTGCCAGACCGAGGCTAAGGCTCTATGTGAGGGAGCGCTCCTATACCAGCTTATGGTTGCTGCTTGGCAGCCGCCAACTGCATGGAATGCCATCCAGAAGCACTACGTCGCTGGTAGCTTTGCCGAAAAGGACGCAGAAGCTTTTGCAGGGCTATGTTTTGAGATCGTCACCTATCCTGGACCGGAGCTCGCTGGGATGACCAGAAACATTGAAAACGCCATCAACACACGTCCGTTTACGACAAGTCCCGGTTACAAGACACGCGAACTTGGCTACCGCATCCACAAGGTTCTTCAGACAAGATCCTCGTCCAACAACTTAGACGATGTTGACGGCCCTGGAGGGAGACACGACAACGATTTCACAGATTTCCGACAGATTTCCATCTACCCAAGCAGCGATGAGCTCTCTTCGACAATCCCACCATTCTATCGACAGGCTGTCGAAGTATCACAGTCTGATCCGGCTCGGAGGACTGCCAGGCACCTTGACAACCAGTTCCGTCTTCTCCGCGAGGACATGCTGGCAGAGCTTCGTGACGATATTTCAATTGCCACAGGAAAACGAAAAGGCAAGAGGCGAAGCCAAATCCTAAAACAGCTCGTGCCGGTTAGCATCGACACGGGTGATGAGGTGCGAGCCCGGCAGTGCGCCCTTCAAGTCAGCGTCGGTTCCGGGCTCGAGAAGCTTACCAAGCTGCCAGTTGCCGAGCGAAAGAAGTTTTTAACTGAAAACCGAAGCTTCTTGCCCCATCAGGCATTTGGAGCCATCTCCTCGAACTACACTATTATTGGTTTTGCCTTTGCGGTCCGCAACATTGACGACCTCGTCAGAGACCCTCCACTGCTCAGTCTCTCATTCTGTTCCTCTGAAACCATGGAGAAGGCCTTGAGCAACGCTGTGCAGTCGCAGAGTTTGGAGTTCATCCTAATGGACACTCCTGTATTTGCATATGAACCTGTCCTCCGACGCCTTCAAGAAATCACGGAGCTGCCACTCGACAAGCCTCTACTGCAGATGGAGGATGGCAATGCGGAGCAGAGGTTTGAGATACCCACAAAACTGCAAGCCGAGATTCAGAAAATTAGAGAACACAACCCTGAGGGGATCCAGTTGAAGATTGCAGGCCGAAGCTACCAGATAGACGCAGCGCAGGCTCGCGCTCTAGTAACGGCATTACAGAACCCGCTTGCGGTAATCCAAGGACCACCTGGTGAGCTAGAACATTGATGCCATCAGTTTATTCCGAAATGAGCCAGATTATTAACTATTTGGTTCCTAAATACAGGCACGGGAAAGTCTTTTGTGGGTGCCCTCGCAGCCAAGCTGCTTCTTCAAGGTTCGCCCGGGCGGATCCTCGTCCTCTCCTACACGAACCACGCACTCGATCAATTCCTGGAAGATCTCTTGAACATAGAAATTGACGAAAGAACTATAACACGACTTGGATCAAAATCTTCAGCCGCCACAGCCAAGCTGTCCTTTGACTTGCAGGCGCGCGAATGCCAATCTGGAATCTCCCGGCACGGAAGGTTGCTTTACGCGCTTAAAGACGAGCTCAGGAGTCTTCGAGTCGATGTCGAAAACGCATTTGACAAGGTCGCCAAGCGATCCCCCTCCCTAGAAGAGATCATTGACTATCTTGAGCTCGCTCACCAGGGTGAGGAATCAATCCACGAAATCCACTGGTTGACCAATATATTGACCTCAACACGCGTCAACGTCAACCCACGACTTGAATTGTTACATAATCAACCAATCCACGGTGCTGCGCATTTTGATGGACGATATGGATGGATTGACCAGTCGTCCAGCATCGCGAGAAACGGAAGCTCTGCTGCAGGGTAAGAGGCCAACCTAAGTCGCTCGCTGGGGCCGACGTAACACTAGTTGTCGGCACTATCCACCCACTACAGTACGGCGGGCGCGCCTTGTCGCGTCCTGCGACGCGTCGCCATTTTAGGCCACCTGCAACACGAGGCGACTGGCAGCTGAAACATGGCCGAGCCAGTAACTACCAACATCGAACCTAAAACACCAGCTAGCGATGATACCCCGCACGATGCTTTACTGCTCCCGAGGCTTGCCCTTCTAGACGCGGGAAAAATTCCTTTGACATCCTGGACGCCATCCTCAGATGAGGAGCAGCGCATATTCCGCGTCTGGAAGGGCTTCACACTAGCCGAACGAACCAAGGATACGGTGTCTTGGATATGGGACTACGGCGTTGAGATTCAATCAGAAGCGTCCAGGCGATGGATCTGCATGCCGTGCGTGCGCCAAAAAGCATCATCACCACAGTCATACGAATCAAGAGGCACACAGAATGCCGAGCACCACCTCTGGAAGTCTCACGGCTACTGGGATCCGTCAGGACGACGACGAACGCCACTGCAGACGAAAGAGGGAAGGAAAGCCTTCGCATCGATCACAGACCTCATGGGCCTCAAACGTTTGGAGCCTAACGACCAGGCCCTGGCGAACAACCTAATCCGACGATTCGATCAAGCCGAGTTCCAGAAGCTGGTGGTGAACTGGATAGTAGAGAGCCAGCAGTCATTCAGGCAGGTCGAACATCCACGTCTGCGACAAATATTCGAATACCTGAATCCTGCGGTGCGTATCAAGGATGCGCATGTTACTGCTAAGACTATCCAGAGCTTGGCTATTCAGCAGTTCGAGCGCCATCGCGATGCCGTTCAGCATGCATTGAGGAGGTCTCCGGGCCAGATACATATCGCTTTCGATGGCGCGAGGACCAGAAACCGTCACGCATTATACGGCGTGACGGCTGTCTTCCGAGATGAGGACAACCAACTCCGAAAGCTTGTCCTGGGCATTCCGGAGCTGGTGGAACGACACTCCGGCGAGAATATCGCTGCTGAGATCCTTGACATTATTCGCTCCTTCGGCATCGAGGACAAAGTGGGTTACTTCACCCTCGACAATGCAGCGAACAACGACACGGCGATGCGCGAGATCGCGCAAGAGTTGCACTTCGATCCGGTGCGACGGCGCGTTCGATGCGTTGGCCACATTCTCAATCTCGTCGTCAAGTCCCTTCTGTTTGGAAAAGATGTCGAGGCGTTTGAGGACACCGTCGCGAAGGGCGAAGCACTGGCAAGGGCAGCGCACGACACGTGGATGCGGAGAGGCCCCGTCGGCAAAGCTCACAACTTTGCCATTTGGGTCCATCGGTCGGATGTTCTGACGCAGTTGCTTCGCCAAATCCAACAAGACTCGTATGCGGCAGCTGACGACGCCGAAGTTGGGAAGCAACGGCCAGTCGACGTGGTTATTGACAACGATACCAGATGGCTATCCCAATACTACATGATCAAGCGGCTGTTGCGACTGCAGCCTTTCTATGAAGAGTTCATTGCTAAAGCAAAGAGAATCTTCCGAGATGGCCGGAGAGGAGAGGTAGGCCGGAGGTTTCCTCCTTGTCTTGAGGAGTCAAGCTTCCTCACCGAGAACGATTGGGCGGTGCTCAGGACTTTTGACGAGATCCTCTCGGACTTCCACGTGGTTGTACAAGCGCTCCAGGGCGATGGGCAGCCGCGTTGTCGCGCCTCCGGCATACGAGAGACCTTCGGTTCGATGACTGACGTGCTAGAGGCATTTGAGTTCCTTCTGAGCAAGCTGGAAGACGCAAAGTCGCAGATCGAGACGCATCCCGAGCCGGAGCATTTTGGCATTAACGTCAATCTTGGCTGGATGAAGCTGGACAAGTACTATAATACCTTGAGAGACACGCCGGTCTACTACGCTGCCGCTGCTTTGCATCCTGGGCTGCGATGGACTTATTTTGACGAGATTTGGGGCCGGCACCACCCGGAATGGGTTGAAGAAGCGAAGCAGATTGTGCAGCAGCTCTGGAGCAATGAATATAGTAACCTGCAAATCACAGTCGCATCCACTGCCGATGGGCCAGCGCTAAAAAAGCAGAAGACTGTGCTGTCCTCATTTGATAGGTACCGTAATAGACACCGGCAAAGCAATGCACCCACTGCCGGAGCAGATGAATACGCACGCTGGCAAGCTAGCATGTCGGAGCTGGACAGAGATGTGGCTGACCCGGTGGAGTATTGGCACCTGAAGAGATTCGAGTATCCTAAGCTGTCTCGAATGGCACTTGATGTGATGACAGTGCCGGCCATGAGCGCAGAGTGCGAGAGGCTGTTCTCGGCAGCAGGGCTAATGGTTACTCCGCTGCGGAACAGGATGGATGCAGGAACAATTGGACTTATCCAAACCTTACGCTCGTGGCTACGCGCGGGAATAATCAAGGATGTTGACAATATACTGCTGGACAGGGCTGTATCAATGGGGCTTGGGGAGGATTGCTCAACGGAGGAGTTTCGAGGATGAGGCGGGGTAAGGGGGTTTCACGATAGCTTCAAAATTACTCAATTAGGAAATCGATGTGGAGACGACATGGGTCCTCAATATTGTGGCCATCAACCCACGAGAAGGCTTCGTGGACTCAACCCACGACAGCGCTGCTGAGTAAGCTGTCAATTCCATCCACGACAAGCACTCGTGGACGTGGGTGGATTGATTCCTCACCCTGTCGCTCACGACCAAGAGTCGCAGCTTTTCTGGCGTGCATTCCAGATACCGCGTGAAGAGGACGGGTTTACAATCACTGGCCGAAATGGTGTGGCGATGCAGACTGGCTATCTCCTCGACCGATGGCAGAGTAACAAAGGGCCAGGAAATCTGTCGCGAGAGGTTTATGCAGACTGCCGGGAAATTTGGAAGTACAACAAGGAACAGAGACTTGCCTGGATTCGCAAGTGGACCGAGGCCATTCGGGAAGAGCACATTGAAGCTCTACACGGCTACATCGAACGGTTCAACGACACACAGACCAAGATTGACTCCCTGTTCAATGAATCACGATGCTCCTTCATCAAGACAAAAAGGATCATTGGATGCACGACCACTGCCGCAGCCAAGTACTCATCTTTGATCAAGGCGGCCAAGCCCGACTACATTTTGGTCGAGGAAGCTGGTGAAATCCTGGAAGCTCATGTTCTCACAGCTCTGAGCACCTCGACGAAAGGCCTGATTCTGATTGGAGATCACGAACAGCTACGGCCCAAGTGCAAAAATTACGCCTTGAGTGTTGAGAAAGGTGCCGGATACGATCTCAACAGGTCCCTCTTCGAGAGACTCATCTTGGCCGGGCAAGAGCACAGCACACTCCACAGGCAGCATCGAATGCATCCTGACATTTCACAGCTCGTCCGCTTCATGACCTACCCAGACCTGAAAGACGGAGCGAAGACGCTCGATAGACCGCAGATACGAGGCCTTCGTGACAGGGTCACATTTGTCAATCACAGCAAGCCTGAAAGTACCGCCAACGACCTCGGCGACCGCCTGGACGCGAACCAAACGTCGAGCAAAGAGAACAAGTTCGAGGCTCAGATGATCCTGAAGACGGTGAAATTCTTAGCACAGCAAGGCTACAAAACCGAGAACATCGTTATCCTAACGCCGTACTTGGGCCAGCTGCGACTTCTTCGGGACATGCTGAGTCGTGACAATGACCCGTTGCTGAGCGACCTTGACTCGCACGAGCTCATCCGTGCAGGTCTGGCCACAACTGCTGCGGCGAAACTCGGAAAGACCCAGATACGCCTATCAACAATTGGTCCGTTTTTTTTTATCTGAATCGATATTTAATTTGATGCGGGACTAACACTATTCCAGATAACTATCAAGGAGAGGAGAGCGATATTGTTGTTGCTTCACTTACCCGCAGCAACAGCAACGGAGATATCGGCTTCATGAAATCCCCTCAGCGCCTGAATGTGCTGTTGTCCAGAGCTCGAAATGGTATCATTATTTTCGGGAACATGGACACCTTCCTTGCCTCGCGTCATGCTGCCGACTGCTGGCAGCCTTTCTTTCACTATATGAAGGAGAAATGCTATCTACAAGATGGCCTTCCGGTGTATTGTGAGCAGCACACGGATCGCACCGCAACGCTTTCAACCCCTCAGGACTTTGATCTCAAGTGCCCAGACGGTGGCTGTGCCGAGCCCTGTGGCGCTATGATGAAATGTGGCGTGCACAAGTGTCATCGTAGGTGCCATCGTGTGACAGATCACGGCAACCTTGAATGTGGCGAGCTGGTTGAAAGGACGTGCCAGAAGCAGCACGCGTACAAAGTCCGGTGCGGGCAGGCTCCTACGCGATGCCCGGAATGCGTGCGAGAGGAAGAGGACATCAAGCGTCGCGCGAAGCGAGACCTAGAATTGGAGAAAATGAGACTTAAGAGACAAGAAGATTACAGACGTGAGCTGCTCGCCATTCAGGATGAAATGGCGCATCTGAAGCTACAGGATGAATGTCAGCGAGAGGTAGAGGATCAAGAGCAAAGCCTACAACGTGAGCGAGAGGCTCTGTCTGAGCTGCAGGAGACGAAAAAGCGTAAGGAATCTATTAAGAAGGCTCAGAAGGAAGGGGAAAATAGATCTGTCGGCACTAAAGGACAACGTCCCTTCCAGAGCACTCCAGGACTCAAGCCAACAGTCAACTTGGAGCCTGGCTCTGCAAGATACGAGTGGGAATGCCTGAAGCGAGATGAAGGCGCCTCTAATAAGACATTGGACACTTTGATGGAGATGGTTGGTTTGGAGGCAGTGAAGAAGGCGTTTCTTAGCATCAAGACAACAGTCGATACAGCCACTCGGCAGGGCGTGTCAACTGAGAATGAGCGTTTCGGATCTAGCTTTCTTGGAAATCCTGGCACTGGTAAGTGAATCTCTTCCTTCTCTACGCATCTACAGCCCGCACTCCAGGAGCAATGACTATGAACCGGAAATCTAACCGTGTGCTGTAGGAAAAACTACGGTGGCAAGGCTATATGCCAAGTTTCTCACCACCACCGGCGTCATCGCCGGCAGCCGCTTCGAGGAGGTCACCGGCGCCAAGCTCGCCAATATGGGCGTCACCGGCTGCCAAAAGCTCCTCGACGACATGCTCAATGCTGGCGGCGGCGTCGTCTTCATCGACGAGGCATACCAGCTGTCTTCGGGAAACAGCCAGGGCGGGTCTGCGGTGCTCGACTTTCTGCTCGCCGAGGTCGAGAACCAGCGGTCCAAGATTTGCTTCGTCCTCGCCGGCTACGCTAAACAGATGGAGTCGTTCTTCGCCCACAACCTTGGCATCCCATCCCGCTTCCCGTTCGAGATCAAGTTCGAGGACTACACCGATCAGGAGCTCCTGAAGATCATGGGGTCCAAGATTGACGCCAAGTACAGTGGCCGGATGAAGGCAGAAGAGGGACTGGATGGTCTCTACTGCCGGATCGCCACTCGCAGAGTCGGGCGCGCGCGAGGGAAAGAGGGCTTTGGCAACGCACGCGCTGTAGAGAACCTGCTGAGCGTCATCTATAGACGGCAGAGCGACAGGCTGCGGGTAGAGAGGCGCGAGGGATCTCGACCTGACGACTTGCTGCTCACAAAGAAAGACTTTCTGGGGCCTGAACCGACCAATGCCCTTCTCAAGTCCAAGGCGTGGGTCAAGCTTCAGGAGCTGATCGGACTGGAATCCGTCAAGGAGTCGATCAAGTCGCTCGTCGACAGCGTCACGGTGAACTACCAACGGGAGCTCGACGAGGAGCCCATCATCGAGTATAGCCTGAATCGCGTCTTCTTGGGCAACCCCGGGACGGGAAAGACGACCATTGCCAAGCTCTACGGCCAGGTACTCGCGGACTTGAGCCTCTTGACCAACGGCGAAGTTGTTGTCAAGAATCCCTCCGACTTTGTCGGCGCCGTCATCGGACAATCTGAGAAGCAGACGAACGGCATCCTCGCTGCGACGGTAGGCAAGGTCCTGGTCATCGACGAAGCCTACGGGCTCTATGGTGGCGGCGCTGCGTCAAAAGGCGGCGGCGGCTTCTCGGACCCTTACAAGGTGGCTGTGGTCGACACCATCGTCGCCAACGTCCACAGCACCCCAGGTGATGATCGCTGCGTTCTCCTCCTGGGATACCGGGACCAGATGGAGGAAATGTTCCAAAATGTCAATCCTGGACTCAGCCGACGGTTTCCGCTCAGCACCGCGTTTACGTTTGAAGACTTTACCCAGGCCGACGTCAGCAAGATCCTGGACCTGAAGCTCAAGCAGCAAGGCTTTGGGGTGACTCAAACGGCTAGAACGGTCGCGCTCGATATGATGGATCGCGCACGCAGTCGTCCCAATTTTGGTAACGCCGGCGAGGTAGACATTCTCCTCAACAGTGCCAAGGCTCGTCACCAGACGCGACTGATGGCTCGGGAGACCCTACGGAAGACCACCTTGGAAGCCCTCGACTTTGACGAGGATCACGGTCGAACAGAGAATGCCGAGACCAACGTAGCGCAGCTCTTCCGCGACACGATCGGCTGCGATCGCATCGTGGCCATGCTCCAGGGTTATCAGCAGACGGCCCGAACGACGAAGAACCTCGGCTTGGATCCGAAAGAACACGTGCCGTTCAACTTCATCTTCCGCGGCCCACCAGGCACCGGCAAGACGACGACGGCGCGGAAGATGGGCAAAGTGTTTTACGATGCGGGGTTTCTCGCTAGTGCCAAAGTGCACGACTGCTCGGCGTCAGACCTCGTCGGGCAGTACGTCGGGCAGACGGGGCCCAAGGTGCGGCAGCTGCTCGACAAGGCCCTTGGTGCGGTGCTGCTCGTCGACGAGGCCTACCGGCTGCGCGAGGGCCAGTTTGCCAAGGAGGCTCTTGACGAGCTCGTGGACTGCATTACAAAGGAGCGGTATCGCAAGCGTCTCATCGTTATTCTCGCCGGGTACGAAAACGACGTGAATGCCCTCTTAGCCGTGAACCCCGGACTCACGAGCCGCTTCTCCGAGGTCCTCGACTTCAACAGCCTGCCACCAGCGGACTGTTTCGAGCTGCTGGGCAAGAACTTTCTGAAGCAGAAGGCCTCCATCGTGAAGGGTGGTAAGGGCAATATGGCGCTCGACTGCCTGGAGACACCGGCTGCTGAGTTCCAAACTGAGGTTTGCCGACTGCTTGAGCGTCTGTCTAAGCTTCCGGGCTGGGGAAACGCACGAGACGTTGAGACGCTGGCAAGATCCATGTTTCAGGCCGCGATGAAGGCGGGTACTTCTGAGGTGGACGGTACCATTACGGTCACCGAAGCCATGGTCAAGGCAGAAGTGGAAGCCATGGCCATAGAGCGGGAGAGTCGATCACGCCAGACGTTACATGCGCCATCAAAAGCGAAATTGTTGCAAATGTGTCTGATGAAGAGTTCCAACGTGACCCCTCAAGTCTCTCTGGTCTCTGCGCAGAAAACCTCGCAGGCAGTCTCCAAAGACAATGCTCGTGACGACAGGCCGCCGCCCGCGGACGACCCGGAGCCCACTAAAACCACTATTTCTCCCACTAACGGTGCAAGAGCTGCGGTACGTGATGCGGGCGTGAGCGACGAGGTCTGGGGTCAGCTGCAGCGCGACGCGCAGGCTGAGAGACAGCGCGAAGCGGAGTACGAGAAGAAGCAGAAGCTCAAGGTGGAGACGCGGGATGACGCATTGCGGAAGCGCATTATCCAGGAGCTCATCAAAGAAGAAGAAGAGCGGAGAAAGGAAGCCGAAACTAGGCAGAAGCTGAAGATGCAAGGACGATGCCCAGTGGGATACGAATGGATTCGCCAGACGGGCGGCTGGCGCTGCGCTGGAGGGTCGCACTTCATGTCCGATGGTGAGGTGTAGGAAGCGGTGGACAATAATGTGATGATTTTGCTTCTGATACTAGTTCTCACGAACTGGACAAGTTATGTTGTTCGTTATGGTTTACGCCTGTTTTACTTTCTATTTTATCCGAATCTCTTTGCCTTCTTGTAAGCTACTTACACCCGCATTGATGGTAGACGAATTTAGCGGCCACAATAATGAAGCATTCTTCATAGAGAATGCACAATAAATATCGTTTTTGGATAAGCCTGAGAGCGACTCTTCTTGAATTCCATTCACATCGTGTTTTCTTCAATAGCTACCCAGAAGTGCTGACCTAGCAGTCTTCAACTTTGCACCAGTCCTAGCTGTAGTACGGTGGTATGCATTCATCCTATCCAAAATCGTAAACTTGCTGAAAATCATCGCTATCAACAGTCATTCTCTGACAAAACAGATACAAAATGCAATTTTCCCATGTCAAAAATTTTGAAGCCTCGGTGGCTCCTAGGATTCTCAGTGCAGCCCACGTTGCTAGCTTCTCCGTACTCGGGACGCGATGGAAATGATCGGCTCCCGAAGCTACATTATCACTAGTTTAATGAAGCCGAACACACTGATCAAAACCGACTATTAGAAGTTATTCGAGCGTAATGACTGAAACTTCCCCTAGGAAAAATGAGACGGGCCGCGAAAACGGCGACGGAGCATTTAGTAGCATACGAGAATACACTAGATTCTGAGATAGAACCTGATATTGATGGCATAACGACTTCGCCCTCCCTTTGATCTCATCGCGCCACTCATCTGCGGTCTCATATCCTTCATGTAGGTCAGCCTTAAGGGATAGTCTACTCCCAGTTTCGTCTTCCGAGTCTCCATCACCTGCACTTTGAGCCTCTCCACCTCCACCCACCGGCCCTGTATCCTGCACGTTGATGCAAGGCTATTTATGCTGGTCAGCTTGACAGAATGGGTAGTCCTCTGATTTCTCTCAAGCGCATACTTTTCGCGGTATGTGTCAGTACAGCTAATATAGGGTCATCAAAATATGGGATGCCAGTACCAGCATATGTCTAAACACACTCACGGGTCACAGTGAGTGGCCAAACTCAGTCATTTCTTCTGCAGATGGACAATATTTGGTGTCATGTTCCGATGATACTGTACTTGCAGCGAACAGCAGGCGGCAAATGCGCCAGCGGCTGGGCCATCAGGTCGTCTCTGCGCTGCCAGGTCACTGAGCCACAAACTGCGCAGTTATCTGGTGGGCTGCACCGCCGAACAACACCACGGATTTGGCGGTAAGGCTACTTCTTCGAAATACCCCATGGTCCCCCAACCCCCCAGCTCCCAAGAGCCCACCCGTTTCAGACGGCTTTGTGCTGCGGCCTGGAAAACAGCCTGCCAACTGCAACTGTCTGCCAGCAGCACTAAGTATCACGGTCTCGCGCACACTTGTCTGCCCTTGTATCTTGCTGCTTCTTGATCTGCTCGCTTTTGCCCTCCGTGGTATCCTCGCACCCCTACTTTTGCTCCCGTTATTTCGCTCGCCAGACATCATATGACATGCCATGCTGTAGCTAGCTCAACGCGGCTGTCGACAAAATGCGCTCCTGTCTGCAGCCTCCGTTGTCAACAGCTTGCTGGTAGGTGGAGGCAAGGCATCAAAGCGTTCGATCGGCCCACGCACGGCGCAGTCCCGTGGACTCTTCCGTGAGTCACTGGCAAACTAGTTAATGTGTCTGTTCGCACAGATATGGTCGTGACCAGCCGCGGACGGCAATGTGGTTGGAGGAAGGTTCTGGCACGGAGAAACGACGAGAATACAAACGGAGGCCAGCTGCTAGTCAGGCTGACACAGTGTAGTCAAACTATGCAAGACCCAATTGCATCTCTCACAGCACACAATATCGCAAAGGTCTTAGAACAATGTGGAATCAACCATGCTGATAATGACCAGCTCGACGCCTGCAATCAGGCCCTGACTAAATTTAGTAGTACGGGTAACGTTACTACGAGGTGATCATCCGGCTTGCACACCCTAGCATTCGAAACTCGACTCAGCACCGGTATCAAAAGCGTTATACCGCGTCCGGACGCACACGCGTCTGCAAACAGATTTCGTGGCTCTTACAGGTTATTGGAGAATGATTCGAAACGCGGCGCTAAAGACTACGGCGCTTTAGACACGGCACCAAGGAAGAAGAGCAAACTCAAACGGACAGTCCCGAAAGACCTGACAGTTGATGGCGCGGGGGACAGCTCTTTGGCCCATAAGAGTCAGGCTGCTACAAAAGGTTATCGTCAACAGCGAAGACATAGTCACTATCGTGTATCTTAGACTATGCGCCCTGTAATGCCAGGCATAGCAGGGCATGCCACCGAACATAGCAGCAGCAAACATATTAGCATTCTGGTATCTACGTCATGATATCTATCTAAAACTAGATATAGAACATTGTATCCTTCAGCTTCAAGTGAATCTGTACATCATCAGCATTCGGCTGCCCGGTTGCTCCAGCTGCCGACGTTCCAGCTATGGACGGTCCTGCACTCGGCGACGGCGTGTCAAACAGACTCGCCAAATAGCATCGCGCGCGCTCACATGCGAGATCAGCGTAGTACGCCGGGGGGCAGAGACTAACAGCCTTGGTCGCGCGGCCAAACATGTAGCACATATTGTGTGTAAGATCCTCAACGACATCAGCGATACTCTGGAACGGAAGTGGGATTGACTTTGCATAGACCTGCCGGAAAATCTCGTCGTGCACAATATAATAGTGACATGGGCGAGCGGTCCCCTGAAGTGCGGCGTGTGCCTGCAGGAAAAAGTCCCAGTTCCGCGCTTCAGTCACCGCACGGTCGACGACAGTACCGGGTTTAGTATTACCAGACCTATCGCAGTCTTGCTCGGTAGTGGGATAGAATCTCGTTTTGTGCCGCTTGCCGCAGACTATAACAGTGAAGCGTGGAAGCCCTCTTTTGGTGTCAGCTGCTGGGTACATCTGTTCGCATGCGCGGCGGAGTTGAGGAAGCTCTTTTGAGAAGACCATGTCATATTGGCCTTCAGAGACCCCATCGCGGTATATGAGGATGTTCTCTGGGAGAGCAGCGTGTTTGCCCTTGGTCTTCCAGAGGCCAAGACGAGACTTCAGCATCTCTGTGAGATCGTCCACGTTCTCCTGCCTCGCTCGCTGTATGCGCAATGTTGCGGGCCATTGACCTAGGAACTTGTCAATGGACGCCACCATCGCCGAGACAGAAGGCGCATCTGAAGACGAGCCAGGCGAAGGATGTGTGACGTCGATGCCGACCACCATGGTCTTGTTCTGGTCGATCATGCCGAGATTCTTATTCTCCACGATCTGATTGATGCCACCAATCTTGAGATTGAACTTCATAGCGACATTGGCCATATACTGGTCGCGGCCGCGGTCTTTTGCTAGTTTGGAGCCCACCGAGCAAATGGTGTGAATTCCATAGTTCTTGTCGGCGAGCGACTTGATGCGCTTGTATAATTGTGTATTTGCTCCGGGCAGGATAATGAAAAGTAGATCTAAGGCTCTAGCGGCGCGCTGCAAAGTAGAGCTCAGCGTAGGGTCATCTGGATGTTGAAGTTCGACGCGTTGGCCCGAGAGCGGCTGAGTTGCGTTGACGCCGATTTTTCCTAGGGCTGTATGGAATTCGTTCATGACGGACCCGAGGCTTTGCTGGTCGAAGGAGTCGCGCGCCCCGCGGAGCGAGATCATCAAATATGACCATTTGGCAAGTGACGCGCCGATGTTAAACTTAATATCTACCATATTCCAACTACCGAAGCGGGGACTGGCAGTCTTATTGCCCTTGTAGATAATCTTTGGGCCGCTAAGGATGCGACCAGGAACTTTGATGAGTCCTGGCGTGATTCTGAAGCCGAAAGAACGCTGAAAGACGTTAGTCGCCACATCTGGAAGAGGGAGCGGAGACGTACCAGAAGCACATTGGCGTTTTCATCTAAGCCAACAGTTTGTACACCCTCCCTAACAATAGAGGCCGCATTCTCCCAGGGCTTCCGAACAGCATGGCGGATCATCTGCTGCGTTTGGGTTCCGTCCAGCTTCGACTTGGAGGGTTGACCCGGGAGGACAACGCAGACCTCTGCTGGGAGATACATCGGCTTGTCCCGATTACCGCAGTTGACCAACGGAAGTTGGGGGTCTTGCAGAACTCGATTGTATGCTGTGTCACAGTCAGTGATATTGTATCGAGGGATGTAGAGGGAAGACCTCGCACTTATTCTGAAGAAGTCAAACACACTGATGTATCCTCCAGAGCTGGACGCTGCCGAGCTTTCTTGAGGGCTCTTTCCCTTGCCCTTGCCTTTCGCGCCTACCTTGACTGCCGTCTTGGGACCAGAGAAGCCAGTTTCACCATCGAGCCAAAATTCGACATCTTTGGCGCCTGCCCCGTGCTGTCTAACGCGCGGTGGGTGGACCATGCCATGCCCGTCATCCTTCCTAGCAAGGCCAAAGATAGTCTTGACGCGGGGAATGACTTCATTGGCTTTATTACGCTTCTCGGGGAGATGTGTGGTCTGGATGCGAAGAAACTTGAGGAATCTTTCCAACATGGCGGTGCTGTGTACACCGTAATTGATCATAAGAGCCGGTAAGGGAGCAGCCTGGTAGAACGCTGCATGGCTCACATTGATGTTGACAAGAATGCGACACGTTGCGATGCGCACGCTCGAAAAAAAGCCCCTAACAACCTCCAAGCCAGCGCCAAGGTCCGCTCTTGCTGCATTGTTGCTAAGGGAAAAGCTCTTTGTCGATCCAATTGTAACGAGGTTCTTTGTGGATTTGGCGTAGTGGTTCAGAAAGATATTGAGGGCCTGCGTCAACTCTTGCTTATCTCCCAGTGACTGACCAAGACTCGTGGAGTTCAGGTAATTGATCAACTCGCCGATGCTTAAAGTCTTCGTATATAGGACGCGAACCGTGTATATGGTGGCTCTAGCACCCGGCTCATCTTCACCTTCGGAACGATAAAGGACCTCGATGAGAATCTCGTCCTGGGGAAACTTGGTTTTGGAAACAAAGGTAGACCGGAAATCCGTTGCAACGTCGCCCTCTGCCAGTTCCGGAGACTGGAGAAGTAGCTGCACAACCCGGAAGAGCTTCTTGCCAGCTGCTGCCGGGCTGATCTGGATGTCGTACCGATACAGACTCAAGTTTGATGGCGGCAGTAACTCGACGTAATTTGCCGTGAGCTCAACCTGGGTGCCTCTAGTGCCATACCCCGGACGGCTGGGAAAGCCTTCGGTTAGCTTCAGGCTACCAAGATCGAGCTTGTTCTTTGTCGCTGGATGCAAGGCATCTTCGACCTTCGCAACTTGGGGATTCTGGCCTTGAGGGTTACTATATCATCGCAAAATTAGCAGGTTGTACGACCACAATTTTTCCACATGGCTCTTACGGAAAGACCTGGATAGGTTGTTGGCCGCTGCCCGTCGACCCTCCATATCCTCCTCTTCCACCTCCACCGCGCCCTCCATACCCCCGCCTCTCCCCCCGCGCCCGCGATCTCCACAAATGCCGCCTCGATCCCCGCCACCTCTTTGCCCACTAGACATGATACTAAAGGACTGCGCCGGACACTCTGAGCAAAGGCGTAGAAATAAAAGCGATCCGTCAAACGCTCGCTGTTCAAGGTGGCATGCGAAGGCTCTCAAATCCGATGGAGCGGGGTAATCGCAGAGGGGTTATGCCCAGAAGTGGGCCTTGACTGACACTTGGCCCACACTGACGTTATTACAAGCGCTTTTCCAGGTCCTCGCCTATCCCTTCGGTTGCCGCTAGTGGCAAACGCAACCATCCATCAGCAAAATTCGTGTGCCGTATCTCAAATGCCAGCATCACGGTGACTTTCTGACGAGCTTGGATCACTTTAAACACCACGTCTAGACAGTACATGGCGTGAAACTTCTATTCACATAACGTTAGTATAGATCTTACAAGAATTCGAGGCATTTCTTTCTCTTATCGATATCTACCTAGCCTAAAATCAGAGTTACACTTTGCCTCATCTCTATTGCTTCCCAGACAAGACGATTCATCGCAGAAGCTGTGCAGTGCCTACCGGAACGAGGAGCAGACTCAACCACCAAGATCAGCAAAGACCGTGAGGCACTGGAGGATTCAGAAAAAGGGTAAAACTAGTATATATCAGTTGTTAAACAACTTCCGTGCCACTCAGAACATAACCTGGCTCCAGAGGAACAAGCGTTAGGTCTTCAGCACAAACACGATAAAAAATTTGTCCCGGGTTGTTGGCTCCTCTCATAAAGGTGCCCCTCTCGCGACTCGGTGCGTGATCTGCACCAAGACTCAGTAGACCTTGTGCCCTTCTCTCAGTGGCTGTCATGTGGTTTTCGAATGTTTTGAAGGGGAAGTCATTGAATGCTAAACATATAAAATCAACTCCGTACTTGATACAACTAGCCCTTATTAGAAAACGTACCTTCGGTATTCGTAAGGAGGCGAAGCACGCAATCGGGATGAACTCGCCAAGCCCGAGCTTCACAGTCGAGAAGAAATGGAAGACCAGCCTAAACGAATTAGAATATGCGGAGCTAATCCATGAGATACTTGCCTGGTCGTCATCGTCGTCCATATCTCGGAAGAACTCGATTGATCCCCCAAAGAGTCGATTTTCCAACCAGCGACCCGACTCGCCTGACACTGGCAAGCTGCCATCACCGAGGTCGTTGTAGTTTATGTGGGTGACACCAGGCGGGGTGTAGGACTCGGGGCTGTCACGTCCTTGAGAAAGATAACCGATGAAGAGATGCGTCAGCTCATGAGCGGTTGCCACAGCAAACGTGAAGAGGTAATCGCGATAACGAGATGACATCCTCTTTTCCTTTGCGGTTTTGTTGCCTCCTTGTTGAGACGCGGCGGCCATCTGCCTGACTTTCTGAGGCCAATTGTTAGCCTCTTATCTTCGTTCATGTCTAGAGGTGCATAAGGACGTACTGATAAGTTGAAGTATATACCTCCGGCTTTCTTTGGGGAGTAATTGAAAAGATCGCCATCCCAATGTCCTGGGGGAAGCCGCCTCGCTTCAGCGACGACGTCGGCCCCCCCGATGTGGTCGATAAGTACGCGAGGAAAGTCCGCCTCGGTAGCTTGCAAAAACTCATTCACGTAATTTGGAATGAGGGAGATATCGCCCTCGAATGGGACACCACTGGTGGCCCACCCGTGAACAACTGCTTCAGCTAGGGCAGCCAAGGCGTTTCTGCCTTGTTCCTTTTTCAGGATCGAGAGACCAGCGTAAATTGAAAAGGCCAGCTACCAGAACGAAAGTTAGCGATGCAGCAATCTCCTTTTAGGGGGCATTATTTACTCCCGTGAACTCGAGCGTGTTTTCTTGTAGTGGAGCTGCGAAAGTGCCATCATCGGGCCGGAGAAGGCTCATGCTAAGCTTACCTACGCCATTGACCGTGAACTCGCGGGGTATGTCCATGGCGAGGGCGTAACTCGGCAGATATGTTACCATTCGAAAAGCAATGAAGAGTCTTGACTCGGGGACAAGTGGAAAGGAGGGATTTATAGCTGCCACCGCGGGACCGGTAGGTCTCCACCGTGACTTACCGAAGCTGGCAGCCTGATTTAGGCAGCCACGCTGGCCTCCGTCGGCCCAGCATGTCGGATGTCGCAGCGCAGACCGGCCAGAGCGCACAATCAAGTCTCGCAGCTACCCTTTTTTCCTACCTCGCAATTCTTACTCAGTAGCTCAAGGTCAATAAAGTAGCCTCTTACATTCTCGATCAAAAGATCGAAGGCTAACTGGTTTTAATCCTTGTGGCCTGCGTGGGGTCATGTCGGGTAAAATCTGACAACGGCCGAACCTTATTTCGTCAGGGTTGGTGGGTGATCTTCCTTCGGGTGCCCCACCAATAACTGCACAATGCGTTTTGCTAAATGCACAAGGGGGGTGCCGTCACCATACAATTTTGCATGCAGAGGTGCCTGGGAGACAGGCAGCAGACAAACGCAAGCTGCCACTGCAGCGCAAAATCAAAGAGGACGTCTTGTGCCTTCGACCGTGGCAGCACACACAAATACGCCAGTGATATCGGCTGTGACGAGTCGAAGAGCTAAGTCGCTTGAGAACTAATAATTGTCGCTGGAGTACATGCTAGGCCCAGACAACTTGCTCTCTTTGTCTACGTTCGTAGTAAAAAACGGCTTCTACGGTACGTAAGCCTGGCGGCTGTGGTCTGCTAACCTAGTACCGTTCCGAACCAATCATAATTCTCCCGAGGTTTTGCCTGTCCCAGGTCATCCAGGTGGTCATTTGACCACTCTCCTCCCAATCCTAACCCATCGTCATCCTGGGGTTGTCTAGTACTTTGCTCGTCTCATCTGGTTGTTCTGAAGCGGTTATTCGTACGTGCCTCACCTCATTGTTTCTCTTTTCTCCATCACCTCCAACTTGCCCGGTTGATGATGGCGGGGGGAGACACCGTCGCGTCCCCATGCAATCTCGGCGGCCTGGATGGCCTGGATGAGGAGCATCGGAACAGCTTCATCAAAGCACTTCTTCGCATCTTGCATACAGAAGTTGCAGAGCGTACCTACTCTGAGATATTGGATGGAATTCCTACGTCTGCTTCATACTTGGACTTTCACCATCCGCAAGAGGGGCACCCGGCAATCAGCCACACCCAACTTTGTCCTGGCGTCCTTGATCGTTCCCGTCAGCTTCGCGATCAGCTCGACCCAAGAACATTGCCTTTCTCCTCATCTGTAAGTCAACTTCAATCCTCAACAAGAGACCTTGGTGGCCAGCGTCCACTTACACACTGGCGTAGCTCCTGTCATCCTTCCAAGCTACCCAACTGGGCACAAAGGGGTTCAAGCTAAGACTCATCGAGCTTCTGGCCGTGTCATGCCACCAGATAGCGGTGCATTTATTTCAGCTAAAAAAGTGCCACAGCCAAGAAGAATACGAACGATGGAGAGACGAGCCTCGGCAGCCAAACCAATGGGACTCGTATCGCGCACCCACCGCGTTTTGCCACCGATCATATCTTGCGAGTGAGCAATACCCAAATGGTATTGCGGATGTGGTAGGCTACTGGGCTGAAGCAAGAATATTTGGCGGCGTTGTTGTTTTTGATCGAGGCGAAACAGACACAGAGGCGAGTCTCTTTTCGTCTAGATAACCAGACCGCAACGCTGACCCGATCCTCAGTGTAAGGAAGTGTTCTTACACTCGTCTTTAAGAAAAGGACCTCGGACGCTATACCCCCCTACGTCTATACAGTTCGACAGCCTAATACGATTCCTGCTCGACGAGGCGACGCCCAATCCAGCTCCGCTTCCAATTTTCGCCTCCGCGGACAACCGCTGGCGCTGGGATGCCTGGGAAGCCATCTCGCACTTTCACATCTACCGCGACAAACATGAGCGGGAGATCCCCACCACCAAACCTCGGGAGCACTGCCGGTCGGCAACGGATTGGCCCGAAATTGTAGATGAGCTCTTTCTTGTGGATGCCATGTGGGCTCAGCACGAAGGCAAGCCGGTGAACGAGAACGAGGTTGAGGCTGCGAAAGAGCGTCTTCGCCAGATAACACCATCTTCTCCTGTCTGGAATGATAAGCGGCCACAAACGTAGGCATTTCCTAGTAGATAGCTACCACGCGAATGGATCAGATATTCCCCATGCCACCGACAACTACCCCGCTGAAGGCTGGAAGAGCCGTCTGCGGTATCAAGTACAAGGACGCAAAACAGCTACACCTTTTTTACGACCTGTATTTTAGTAGACTCATCGCACGTAGAGAACTTGGAAGGTAAACGGCGTTTGCCTGCAGGGGCCGCTTTCCTGGGAGCCACACACTTGAGATTTACAAGGAATGGTCATCGAGAGCGCTCAGCGCTTGCTCAATTAAGAACAGGCATGGCAAAACTGTATACCGTAAAAACCGTTATGGGTGTCGCGGGTTTCTAACATACTAATTTTAGTGGGGTGTATTTTGGCTGCCGCCTAGAGAGCCCGAAATAGCGGTTCTGATTTACCTTGCGAGGCAACTAAAATTAACTAAAAGCACTAGCGACACCCATAACGGTTTTTACGTACTGTAGCTATCTCCATCGCATCAAGGTAGCGACTTCTGCACAATGCGCATGCGGGCACGTGAGGGAGACGGTGGAGTTGTGGAGGCTTTCCTCTTCCAAAGCCCGCAATGGAACGAACAGCGAAAAAGTTGCGAGCAAGCACGAGCACGAGATGGAATGATTTGTCTCTCCGGTTGTCAAGCACGCACGTTCCCAGACAGGCTCCGAATTCGGCCACAGGCTTAATGACTCAGGTGCTGGCTACCTCTTGCGACGCGTACCCGGGTTTACCAGGGTGCCGAGACGTTGTATCTCCTGGCAGGACAGTCTCTACTGTCCAGTACCTCAACGCGATTGCTGGCTGACGAGCGCGCGGGCGAGTGCAAGCATAGTGCAAGTCAGCCTGCCGATATCCCCCTGTGCTGTGCGCGCGCGCAGACATCCCAACAATCAGTACTGATTGATAAGACCCTTACTGAAAACTGATGGATTACTCGTGGCGTTACTGATACTGATTGATTAGCTTATTAGTACGTGTGGGAACACTGTGTGCTGGGTGTTTTCCTCACGAACATATGAATCCATCACACCCTCGCACACGCCACATCATATACTCCGCTAGTATCCCTAGAAAAAGCCCAGTGTAGTAATTAAGTAGCTACCAGATGTTGATATACAATCCTCTGTGCGTAAGACATAGGTATAACGAAGCTACTGAACATGCATATTAAAAATTAGCTTGTTCTTCTTCCAACTTCCAAGGCACTCTGTCATCTCAATCGTCTCCGCCCCTAGACGTGCACGGTCAAACGAAAAGGTACGCCGACTGCTCGAGAAGACACGCTCTGCTTGATCTGACATAGGCGCAATCGAGAGCACGTCGAGAGCCATTTTATGCAACCGTGGATATTCAGTCCGCTACTCCTCCCTACTCCACCATGCAAGCGGACTTGATACAATCTTGCACGGAGTCCCGTTTATGAATTTCTCTAGCTCATCTGCGTCGTCGTTGTCTGTTTCCGTCACATCAAGCGACCGTGCCAGTTTGTCATATACCGTCATTTCCATCTCTGGAGCATCCTTTACGGTGCTCTCCACAGCATAGTCCTTGTACTGGCTCCAGATCTGCCGGGCCTTACCAATCGCTCCCGCATGCCAATCCGCGTGCCAGTTCCGGTGGAGGTATTTCAATCGCTTGGATGGGTGCAGAAGTAATGCTGTAGAATATATAGGTGTTTCGTCAGTCTTAAAATAGTACTTGTCAAGCACAAACCAGCCCATGTGGATGGAGTGGATGAGTCGTGGGTGGTCGCTGTACTTCTTCTGCTCGCATTGCCTATTAGCACTTCCAAATTGACGCAGGGATACACCAATGGAACACGTTACCTTGGCATCCTCAAAATGCTTGAGCAAGATATCCATGTGATAGAGAAGCTGGTCCAAGGATGACCTTATCATTTGCTGCGCTTGTGAAAGGCCGCTAGTAAGTTGATTCAACTATCTAGTTCCTATG